GATCAAGAGCGGTCGTGAAGAGTGCTCGTGAAGGCTACCTGACTGCTCATGAAATTCGTTTTCTAGAGTGACGCGCCAAGAGTAGTGCAGCGACGACGTCGCTGCACTACTCTTGGCGCGTCACTCTAGAAAACGAATTTCATGAGCAGTCAGGTAGCCTTCACGAGCACTCTTCACGACCGCTCTTGATCGCCTGCCTGCAACTCCCATTTTTGCAAGGGAGGTCGGACGGTTTCTTGAAAGGCCGCCCTATTCCAAGAGCGAGCCGGGTCTGGACGGACAACACATGCGCTGGCCGTCGTTTTGTKCTTCAAGAGCACTCGTGAAGGGCTGCTGTTCACACTAGCGTGCATGGTCCCACCGTGGTGGGACCGTGCTTTCAAAAATGGCATGCACTGTTCCTTGTTTTCGGTTAAGGTGGAGAGATGGGGGGGGCTGCGGAGTGTGGCCCATGGCGCAGGATACCAGTCCGCACGGGACTCGAAGACGCTGGTAAGAGCTACTCATGCACAACTCTTGCGCGTTTCAAGAGTGCTTCACGAGTACCCATGTGCTAGAGTAAGTGCAGCGACGCCCGAGCTCTAGCCCTTTTTCGGGCTCTGACAACTCGTGGAGCACTCTTGCAATTTTTCACGAGTCATGACTAGTGCAGCGAGGCCCGATGACACGCATAAATCGAGAAATGGACTTGTCATCAAAGAACTGACCGGCCCAAGGTAATTCGGAATTGTAGTATTTCACTCACTCACTGCGCCGAGTAGAGTTCGAACACAGGTCTGTATTTCAACAGTTCAGGGATGTACCAACTGAGAGCACACTCACACCAGCAGTCTTAAATGTATCTGACAGTAAATACGGCCCTACTTGGATGCATCCGACCACAATTACGTCCCGAACAAAAAAGGACATAGTGTGAGTATGCCCGGGGCTAGGCCAGCCCGTCGTTTGGATATTTTCGGTGGTTGGTCCGAAAAGGATTGTGGATTTCTGCCGTCGGCAATCTTGGCTTTTTCTTTTTCGCCGATGGAGCACGGATCAGRTATTGAACTGATGAGGACAGATAMTACACGTCACTTTTCTTTACCCACAAGGCCAAGAAAGGTAGGCATGCTTAGCAGAAAAGTTTGAATGTTGAACCTCTGTTCTTATCCGCAGTCTGTGTTGATGCTTGGAAGCTCTGTTCTTATGCGGAGTCTGAGGGCACACTCACAGAAGGTTTTTTTAGATTAGAATGTATCTGACTCCAATTACGGCCGGTTCCCGACGCAT